AATATTAATTTTAGCCATTACTAAGTCTATGTATGTCATTTTATATTTGAAGACTTTTATGATGTATTTAAATGGGTAATTATGGTTGCAAACTCCATTAGAAATTTGAATTGAAATACTGACCATATCTTAAGGGAAAGAATTTTTTTTGGAATAAGGGAAAGCTCAGAAATTAAAAGAAAATTTCTTCAAATATTTTTTTTTTGGGGGGTTAGTATTCAACAGCATAGTGAATTGCACAAAAGCAAAAAACCGGGGTAAAATTTTTTTTTTGGGAGAGGGGGGGGTCAATTCGCAACAGCATAGTGTTTTGCACAAAACCAAAAAATGAATATAAATTCAAATCATATAACCAATTTGAAGTTCTTTGACTACAGTTATACTGTGTCAGAAACCTATTATGTGTCAAAAATTTAATTACAATCCAAATTCAGACCTGTATCAAGCGTGAATGTTGTGTCCATTTTGGCCCCAACTTTTCAGGGTTGGACATCTGCGGCCATATCCAACTGCGCTCAGCGAAGCAATTTATTTTCAATTGGATTTCTCTAAAAAGCACTTACAAAAGTTATTAGCATAGTTTTATACCGTCGCCTACTGAAGTTATCTACGGCTACAGATACCCCAAACAATGACAGAAATTAATTGATGAAATATAAGAAAAGACTAGGATAAGACATAAAAAGATCGCGCGACAATAAATAGGATTTGCCTTTTAAAGAGGCTGTACCGCTCCCACAGCTGTGCATGACTTTAAACTTAATATGATTAACTTCACTATGATTGTCATTAATATGAGGCAGGCATAACCTGTGAATGGGGACGAAGTCTGTATGATTTTTTTTTTTTAATTCAAACATATTTTAACTTCAAAATCTGTTAAAAAAGAAACGGAAATACTGTAACGTTTCCGATTTCGGTTCTGTTGTTATGGATTTTAGTTGTGACGTTATTTATGTTATGACGTCATATTCAATGTAATCAAAGAAACACTATCATCAGGTAACGGTTTTTCATATCAAGCCATTCAATGAATTATTAAAAATGAAATTGGAATTGCGTTCCTTCCTATATTTTACTAGACTGATAAATATATATTTTACTCAAAGACTCATGCAAAGAGACATGAGAAAGGAAGTAGATTTCTGCGCTAATGCGGGAAAACAAAAAAGTTAATAGAATGAAAATTTTGGGAATTTTTCCCGATTTAAAAAAAATTTTATTGATTTTTCTATCCCCTTAATAGGAATAATACGTAACCCAGAGATCATTATTTGATTTCAAAAATGAATTACTGAACCAATCGTGATTTGAACCTGTGACCCCTGGCACAGAAAGTCACTGCTCTACCAACTCAGATAAATGAGTAATCCACAAGCACATGGTTAAGTATTGACAAGGTGAGACTAAGGGGAAGGGGTAGTGCCTTGAAGTGGCATGAGGGCTCCACTTTTGTGGTCTAAAATGAACACGTTGAGGGATCGTATGCAATCATTCTTTTATTCTTCCCATTGTGATTTCCTTGGTCACCATGTTGGATGTACACACTATATTTATAATGATCTTTATGAACTTACCTGCTTTATGTAAATCATTTTTAAGTTATAAAATACACTTATAATATAATATTATTTAATAATCAAGTGTTATTCGGTCTTTACAAGTGTTACTCGGATAATAACGGTGTTATTTGCTCATTCGAGGTACCGAAGGGGAAGCACGGCTACACTCCCCCACGTCAACATACCTAATGACATACCGGCAATATCAACATCACTTACTCTGGCTGTAGGTTTTACTTTTAAACACACTTGGTTTTTTAGTTAGACAACAATTGTAACAGGAAAGCATGATTTGTCTGATAAAGTAAATTACTGATTCAGCCTTGATTTGAACCTAGCACCCCTGGCATAGTAAGCCACTGCTATACAAACTGAGTTAAGTAAGCATAGCTAATGGAGGGCAGTTATATATATCTTCTATGTAAGATGATTAATCACAACACCTAAAAATGTTTGTAAGATCCAGAATGAATAAACGCAGAAAATTTGTCTGTTATAAATTAATGATGGCCTTTTTTGAGGAAAATTTTACTGGGCTGTGGCTTGGGATTGTGAATAATCATGATGATAACATTTTTCAAATTTAAAAAACAGTTTATAACCTTGAGAGGGAATAATCAGCACTGGTCAGTGGCAGATCCAGAGGGGGGCGTAGAGGGCGTACGCCCCCCCTTTTCTTGCACTTTTTTTTTTATTAAGACTGTAAAATGATTAATCAGACTAGATATCGTTGACTCTGCCGTTTCCGTTTTTTATGCAAATTACACATGAGACCATGGATCTATATATCTGTTAGAAACACATGAAGGACTCTTTTACCACAATGAAAAATAGTACCATAGACCAATTAAACTGTTAGTAGCATGCTATGGTGTCTTTTATACATATTACACATGAGACCATTGACATATATATCCGTTTATAACACATGGACTTTTAAACCACAAAGAAACATAAAAACATGGACCATAGACTGTCAGTAACATGTCATGGTCTCATTTATGCATATTACACATGAGACCATGGACCATGGACCTATATATCTATTATCAACACATCATGGACTCTTATAAAGCTATGCGACAGAAGACCATGGACCAATTAGACTGTCAGTAACATGTCATGGTCTCATTTACGCATATTACACATGAGACCATGGACCTATACATATGTTATTAACACATCATGGACATTTATACCACAATAACACATAAAACCATGGACCAATTAGACTGTATCATGCCAAGGTCTCTTTTATACACATTACAAATGAGACCATCGACCTATGTATCTGTTTTCAACACACAAAGAAACATAAGACCATGGACCAATTAGACCGTAACATGCCATGGTCTCTTTTATACACATTACACATGAGACCATGGACCTATACATATGTTATCAACACATCATGGACTCTTAAACCACAATGAAACAGAAGACCATAGACCAATTAGACTGTCAGTAACATACCATGGTCTCTTTTATACATATTACACATGAGACCATTGACCTATATATCTGTTATCAACACATCATGGACTCCTAAACCACAATAAAACAAGACAATGGACCAACTAGACTGTCAGTAACATACCATGGTCTCTTTTATACATATTACACATTAGACCATGGACCTATACATATGTTATTAACACATCATGGACTCTTATACCACAATGAAACAAAAGACCATGGACAAATTAGAACGTAATATGCTGTGGCCTTCTCTTTTATATATATCACACATAAGACCATGGACCTATAGATCTGTTAGTAACACATTATGGACTCCTATACCACAATGAAACAGAACACAATGGACCAATTAGACTGTCAGAAACATGCCATGGTCTCTTTTATACACATTTCACATGAGACCATGGACCTATGTATCTGTTATCAACACATCATGGACTTGTATACCTCAATTAAACAGAAGACAATGGACCAATTAGACTGTCAGTAACATACCATGGTCTCTTTTATAAATATTACACATGAAACCATGGACCTATACATCTGTTATTGACACATCATGGACTCCTATACCACAATGAAACATAAGACCATGGATCAATTAGATAGTAACATGGTGTGGCCTCTTTTATACATTTTACACATGAGACCATGGACCTATGTATCTGTTATCAACACATCATGGACTTTTATACCTCAATTAAACAGAAGACCATGGACCAATTAGACTGTCAGAAACATACCATGGTCTCTTTTATACATATTACACATGAGACCATGGACCTATATATCTATTATCAACACATCATGGACTCTTATACCACAATGAAACAGAAGACAATGGACCAATTAGACTGTCAGAAACATACCATGGTCTCTTTTATACATTTTACACATGAGACCATGGACCTATATATCTGTTATCAACACATCATGGACTCTTAAACCACAATGAAACAGAAGCCCATGGACCAATTAGACTGTCAGAAACATACCATGGTGTCTTTTATACACATTACACATGAGACCATGGACCTATGTATCTGTTATCAACACATCATGGACTCTTAAACCACAATGACACAAAAGACCATGGACCAATTAGACTGTCAGAAACATACCATGGTCTCTTTTATGCATTTTACACAATGAAAAAGAAGACCATGGACCAATAAGACCGTAACATGCTGTGGTCTCTTTTAAACACATTACACATGTGACCATGGACATTTGTATCTGTTATCAACACATCATGGACTCTTATACCACAATGAAACAGAAGACAATGGACCAATTAGACTGTCAGAAACATACCATGGTCTCTTTTATACATTTTACACATGAGACCATGGACCTATATATCTGTTATCAACACATCATGGACTCTTAAACCACAATGAAACAGAAGACCAATTAGACTGTCAGAAACATGCCATGGTCTCTTTTATACATATTACACATTACACATGAGACCATGGACCTATATATCTGTTATAAGCATATCATGGAATCTAATACCACAAAGAAACAGTAGAGGGCCAATAAGACTGTCAGTTACATTCCATGGTCTCTTTTATACATATTACACATGAGACCATGGACTTATAATTTATTTATCTATTAACACATCCTGGATCACAATGAAACAGAAGACCGTGGACCAATTAGACTGTAAGTAACATGCCATGGTCTCTTTATATATATAATATATCCATCTACATGTGTAATTTTTTCCTTTTTTTTCTGCTCCACATTTATTTTCTTACACAAGTTATGTTTCACTGTTTACAACAACTGGACCCCTTTTAAACTATTGGCTGGATTTTATTGCATAATGCACATATGGCTACATGTTGCAATATTTTTCAAATAGAAAAATAGATGCATAAATGTTTATGGTTAGGGAAATGAGTCTTTTTAGTGGGAGGGAAAAGTGGCATAATGTAACTTAGAGCTGTTAAACCATAATTTTATGATACTGATAAAGTGTTTGTTTTTCAGAGGCAGACAACACTCCAGATTAGGCTCCAGATGATAATAATATTGTTTCAATACCATCCTCTTCTGTGCTGGAAACTCACGTCTATGATTTGGATGTTGGCATCATGAGATTGCTGATATCCCAATCAGCTGGACCACTGACTTCTCTATCTAGTATGACACAATATATTTTTATGTATTTTCCTTTCTTTAATATTAATAACGTATGGTTTCCATTGTTATATCCTTGTAACTTGAAAACATTTATAATAGCACATTCTTAATGGTTTACCATTATAACTTACTGATAGGATATAGTAAGTTTCTATTTAACCTTGATAAAGGGGCTATGATGCAAGAGTAAATGACATGTCATACATCAAAACTTTGATGGACTTGTCATCAGATTACTGTATATATATCCCTATAGCATGTATAGTGTGTAATTATTGTATTATATACAATAATTCTTACAAATTATATTTTATAGAAATTTCTTCATCATTGCAAGCCCTATGTCATTACATCTCATCTCTGATAGAACTTTTATTTATTTATTTTCAACATTACAGATAAAGATGGAAGAAGAAATTGGTATAAGCCAGAAAATTGTCCATCTTGTTGGAAAGAAACTGGCTTACCATTTGTTTCAGTAGATCAGTCTGATGGTGAGATAACAAAGATGGATTGATATGAGAGAAAAATTGTCTCTGGCAATTTTTTTGATATATCAAATGATAAACTCAAGATAGAAAGATAATAGAATTTGACAATGTTTTTCTTTATTCATGTATATATAAATATGTTATTTTCAAGATAAATAGAATAGATAACAGATAAAATATCCAAATGAATAAATCAGAACTGAGTAAATAAAAAATTCCATGACATTTTTGGCACTTGGCTGCAGTTTATATACATTCTATAATTTTTAGGCAAAAAATGTATAAAGCAAATTGGGTTGATGACCCTGGTTGAATCCCTTCAACACCAGAAGGGAATCTCTCCTACAAGACCAGAGAAAATTAATAAATCTATGTTTGCTAGCCGTTTTCGTGTAAGTATTTATAATACAGCTTACATTTTGTATAAATAAAGAATGAATCATAATTTTCATTCACAACATTTATATCATAAGATTAATGATATATTTAGATAATGTGGAAGCATCCTCTCCCTTCAAAATGGGGTTGTCAGAGTAACTGCCACATAACCGAAAAAGAAGTGTTCAAGTCATTTACATTTATTTCCTTAAATTATCTACTTGTTGTTATTTTATGCCATTTTTGTATAACAGTGTTTTGTTATTAATGTACAGTGATTATTGGTCTTGTGTATTGTGATATTGAAAGCCTTTGGCTTAGAAAACATCAGCATGTTGACCCATTTCTTTTCCCTTGGGCAGTTAATCCTTTGTAATGCCTTTTGCTCATATTTATGTTATTTACATATTTCTTTTAAGATACAGCTCTTTGGGTTTAATTGTTCTTTCAGCAACACACTTAACTATTTTAAAATTGGTGTATTCCATGGGCATAATCTTTTGATGGAACAGTGTTAAAATTAACAATCATTATTTTACTTATCTTTTACACCATCAATCAAATTTTGTAGTCTCCTAAATCAGTTGTAATGCAACTTGCTTTTGAATATCTTTTTTTAGTATATAAATGGTACAGAAGAAGAATGTATAGAAACTGGCCACCATGATCAAATAGAGCCTCAGGAAACAGGAGAAGGGGACAAGGTAGTGCAGGAGACCGACGAAGAACAAGGGGGAGTAATAGTTCAAGAGACGGGACAGGAGAAAGGGCAAAAGCTGGAGGGGGAAACACACGTTAGATATGAAGATCATTCGATACAGGTGTTTTTTTTATGTCTGTTTATGTTTAGGAACTTTTAATTTTTCATATATAATTAAAGTCATTCATTGTATATATTAAAAAAAAAATTAAATATGTTGTATGATTGCCAATGAGACAACTTTCAACCAGAGACCAAATGCCATAGAAGTTAACAACTATAGTTCACTGTTCAGCCTTCAACAATGAGCAAAACCCATGCCGCTTATCCAGCCATAAAAGGCCCTGAAATAACAAATGTTAAACAAATAAAATTTGAAAACTAACAGCCTGATTCGTGTACAAAACAATATACAAATATGATAACAAAAGACAACCAATGAATTACACTGGATTTAGTGTAAATACATCATTAACAGTCATTAACATTTAGAGAAAAACATGACCTTGTGAAATAACACGATACAAGTATCAACAGATGTGCGAATAGATTTAGTATGATTTTAATTTACTGATGGAATAGTCAATATTTATTCCAATATAAACACTGCAATATTTAAAGATCTAATTACAGTGTTAAGTTGTTATCCTTTTAGAATAAGTTTATTTAACGATTGATAACTTCACCCAGAGCATACCTAAATTTTCCAGGCTCGGTAAACAACATGGTATAGTAGGAAAATCAATATGAACAGTCACATTATTTTTAAGGAAGTCTTTAACTTTTCAGCAACAGGAGATATTAAGTAGCAGGAAAATTTTTCATTATTTTTTATTATGTTTTTGTTAATATTACAAAATGTGTGGGTTTTTTTTTTATATAAAAGTAGATGCACTGAAAACATTTTAAGATTGAAGTGTATTTTATAGGTGAAAAGAGAAAGAATACACTCAATTTTCACGGAAGAGGTAAAATATAACTTGAATTTTTTATAATGCACAAATTTAAGGTTATTTTAAACAAAAACACATAGAGGCCACTTTTATGGCCTTCTACTTTAACTAAATTCAATGTACAAAGAAAGCTGTAAATTGGTCAGTTGAAACATAAATGTTGGGTATATGCAAAAAAACACCATTAACACAAAAAAATGATTGATTGATTGAAAATTGGTTGCTAAACATCCAGTGTTGAATATTTCATGCATGTTCAGGATGACAAAATAAATGACAAATATAATAAATGATGCATGTTTATAAGAGACACACTTGAAAAATGCTATCATGTATATTCTGAGATCTTAGAAGCACTTCACCTATTTGAAAAAGTCATTTGTGTATAACTGTAAAACATTTCCTTGTTTCTTGCTGCGCCTAGAAAATTCCTTTGTTTTTATTTTGAAATGTCTGAAATGTTTTTAATTGCTAAAACTTATTCATCACATATATAGTAACAAACAGTTTTTATACGACCGCAAAATTTTTGCTGTCGTATATTGGTATGACGTTGGTGTCGTTGTCTTTGATGTCCGAAGACATTTGGATTTCGCACTATAACTTTAGTATAAGTTAATAGAAATCTATGAAATTTAAACACAAGGTTTATGACCATAAAAGGAAGGTTGGGATTGATTTTGGGAGTTTTGGTCCCAATTAACAGTTTAAGAATTAGGGGCCAAAAAAGGGCCCAATAAGCATTTTTCTTGGTTTTCGCACAATAACTCTAGTATAAGTAAATAGAAATCTATGAAATTTTAACACAAGGTTTATGACCACAAAAGGAAGGTTGGGATTGATTTTGGGAGTTTTGGTCCCAACAGTTTAGGAATTAGGGGCTAAAAAAGGGTCCAAATAAGCATTTTTCTTGGTTTTTGCACAATAACTTTAGTATAAGTAAATAGAAATCTATGAAATTTAAACACAAGGTTTATGACCGCAAAAGGAAGGTTGGGATTGATTTTGGGAGTTTTGGTCCCAACAGTTTAGGAATTAGGGGCCAAAAGGGTCCAAAATTAAACTTTGTTTGATTTCATCAAAAATTGAACTATTGGGGTTCTTTGATATGCCGAATCTAACCGTGTATTTAGATTCTTAATTTTTGGTCCTGTTTTCAAATTGGTCTACATTAAGGTCCAAAGGGTCCAAAATTAAACGTAGTTTGATTTTAACAAAAATTGAATTCTTGGGGTTCTTTGATATGCTGAATGTAAACATGTACTTAGTTTTTTTATTATGGGCCCAGTTTTCAAGTTGGTCCAAATCGGGGTCCAAAATTAAACTTTGTTTGATTTTAACAAAAATTGAATATATGGGGTTCTTCGATATGCTGAATCTAACCATGTATTTAGATTTTTGATATTTGGGCCCGGTTATCAAATTGGTCCACATTGAGGTTTAAAGGGTCCAAAATTGAACTTTATTTGATTTCATCAAAAATTGAATTCTTGGGGTTCTTTGATATGCTGAATCTAACCATGTATTTAGATTTTGGATATTGGAATACCACAAAGGGATGGTAAGAATTGTCTTTGGAGTTATGGCTTAAACTGTTAAGGAATAAGGTGCAAAAAAGGGGGGAAAAGGGTTTCCAGGATAATGGACAATTACTTAAGTACAAAACATAATTTAAAAGGCAGTGTAAGGTTGGTAATTGAAACTCATTTGAATATCTCACCTAAACTGCTTTTAAATTATGTATATTGGAAATTTGCCAAAAACTTTATAATTAATAAATTCCATTGGAAATTTGCCAATAACTTTAGTTTAATGAACTTCATTGGAAATTTGCCAATATAAAATGTTGCTGATGAAGCTTTTTTGTTTATCTCACCTAAACTGCTTTTAAATTATGTATATTGGAAATTTGCCAAAAACTTTATTATTAATAAATTCCATTGGAAATTTGCCAATAACTTTAGTTTAATGAAATTCATTGGAAATTTGCCAATATAAAATGTTGCTGATGAAGCTTTTTTGTTTATCTCACCTAATCTACTTTTAAATTATGTATATTGGAAATTTGCCAAAAACTTTATTATTAATAAATTCCATTGGAAATTTGCCAATAACTTTAGTTTAATAAACTTCATTGGAAATTATATTTCATCAAAAATTGAATTCTTTGGATTTTTTGATATGCTGAATCTAACCATGTATTTAGATTTTGGATATTGGACCATAACAGGTAAATTAAAAAATTTGAACTTCTTAGACCACATTCATTCTGTGTCAGAAACCTATGCTGTGTCAAATATTTGATCACAATCCAAATTCAGAGCTGTATCAAGCTTGAATGTTGTGTCCATACTTGCCCCAACTGTTCAGGGTTCGACCTCTGCGGTCGTATCAAGCTGCGCCCCAGCAGAGCATTTTATTTTTTTAAAATTTGTTTCCTTAAGTTAACAATTGTTTTCATTTATATTTATTTAGATTACATTAGAAGAAAAATGTTTAAAAGTGAGGTGTTTGATTACGTCGTGGGATGATTTGTGGGGTTTGGCAGGAGTTATTTGGGAATACATTCCTGTTTTTCCAGACACCCTGTCAAATACTTGGAGGCCCAACACCTTAATAGATACCAACAAAAAGTAAGTTATTAATCAAGTTTCATCTAGTGGGCATAGAATTTGAGTTGATAACCTACATGTAAGTGCTGGTTTTAAAATAATTTTTCAATATAGCCTGAATTAAATCCTATATCAAGATTAGAAATAAATCCTTGTTTATCTTGCTTTGTTTACAGTTAATATTCTTTGAAAATCAGGTAATATTAGAGATGTCCTTTTTTTCAGGTATAAAGACTTAATACCACTTTCCATAGGGGAACGTACAGCTTACCAGTCCACAGCAAATGGAAATTGCATTTATAATGCAGTGTCCATTATCCTCTATGGAAATGAAGATATGGCTGTGGTACGCTGGCTTCAGTGCTGAAAATGGTGGACGATATAGTACCATTTTCAAAATATGTAAGAATACAATATATTCATTTATTTGTTTTTTCATCATTTTATACCATTCTATTACAGATAGAATATAGAATTGTTTGTTGCTCTTAAATTTTAAAATCCAACCTAATGAGGTTCCCTACTGGAAATCTTTGTTTGCTAAACGGTTCTATATGTAAAATCATTATAAAGCAAGTAAAAAATTCAACCATAAGACCTGTTTATTTGAAAAGATTTTATATTTGCAATTCACAAACCATTTATATGATCACAATCTGGTGTTACAATCAATATCACTATAATGTAGTATGATAAAAGAGTAGCACATAAATGTAGACAAAAAGGACATACATTAACAAAATTATGTTAATCACCATTAAGGGGTTATCTTTGATTGTGCTTGGCAATGTTAATTCATTTTTAGCTCACCTGACCTGAAAGGTCAAGTGAGCTTTTCTCATCACTTTGCGTCCGTCGTCCGTAAACTTTTGCAAAAATCTTCTCCTCTGAAACTACTGGGCCAAATTTGTCCAAACTTGGCCACAATCATCATTGGGGTATCTAGTTTAAAAAATGTGTCCGGTGACCAGGCCAACCAACCAAGATTGCCACCATGGCTAAAAATAGAACATAGGGGTGAAATGTAGATTTTGGCTTATATCTCTGAAACCAAAGCATTTAGAGCAAATCTGAATTGGGTGAAATTGTTTATCAGGTCAAGATCTATCTGCCCTGAAATTTTCAGATGAATCGGACAACCCGTTGTTGGTTTGCTGCCTCTGAATTGGTAATTTTAAGGAAATTTTGCCGTTTTTGGTTATTATCTTGAATATTATTATAGATAGAGATAAACTGTAAACAGCAATAATGTTCAGCAAAGTAAGATCTACAAATAAGTCAACTTGACCAAAATGGTCAGTTGATCCCTTAAGGAGTTATTGCCCTTTATAGTCAATTTTTAACCATTTTTCGTAAATTTTTGTAATCTTTTAAAAAAATCTTCTCCTCTGAAACTACTAGGCCAAATTTAACAAAACTTGGCCTCAATCATCATTGGGGTATCTAGCAGTGATTTTGCTAGCGCTCGTCACTTTCGCAAAATACGAAAGGATTTTCGAAATGACGAAAGTTTTTCAAATCAATTTCGTCACTTAAAATTTTTAAAGTATAAAAATTTTCGCCATAAAATTTTCACTTAAAGTTACCTTGTTACATGTTTCAGACAAGTTTATGACCCCAAGCTAATTAATGGTTTCAACAGGTGTCATAAACTGTTGGTATAGATAATCCGATAATTGGGTCATTAACGGTTCTCATAAATAATCCATTTAAGTAATCATTCAATCAACGGGAACATTAAAGTCCGCTTGGATGCTATCATGAATAGACTGCTCATAGTTAGACAAACAACTCAAATTTCTCAAAATGCCTTTGGTTGTGATAAATAGCCAAACATTATGAACTCCACAATTATTCACGATTGTCACGTTACGATCCGCCATGATTACAAACTTCTTCACTTCATCACATGACCCGGGGTCAAAGGTTCCGGCCAAAGTTCAAACCAGTAACAAGAAATCTAGATCAGATCGTCTTCAGAATTCAAAATTTAAACCACAATGGTCAAAGATTTTCCCATGCATTTACTTTGACGCAGATACCGACGCAATGTACTGCAAAGACTGCAAAACAGCCAAAATGATTAATTCGTTTACGATTGGATGCCAGACGATGTTAAAAGACAACATCCAAAAACACATAAAGAGCGCCGACCATAAGAAGGCCATTCAAACCAAGATCATGAGAACTGACTGGGACCAAGGCATTGCTACAGCCAACAAAACTCACGAGAAGGAAGTTACCGCAGCTATGTCAAACATTTTCTGGATGGCAAAACACAACCTGTCCACATCACTGTACAACGACGTCAATGATCTACTTGATTTCCATGTATGTGGTGATTGTCTGCTTTATTTTGTTTTAATAAAAATTGCCTTCGTCCCTCCCTCAATAAAATATTAGCGATTTTCTTAATATGGAGTAAGTTGTCAATGAGACTTATGTTAATTCAGAAAATGAGGAAAATGGGTAAATGTGAAAGATTAAATAAAGAAAAATAAGATTTTTTTTTACAAATGACGAAATGCCGAAATTCGTATAAATGTTCAAGAGATAAATTAAATGATAGAATTGTGTTGCTTAGTGGTAATTGCCAATGAGACAGAAACAAAATGTAAATTATTATTTAAAATACTTATGTCTTAGTGATAACTACGTTATGCATAATTTTACAATATTCTACTTCTTTTTTCAGGGTGTAGAATCTGTGTCTGCAATTCAGAAAGCAAAGAATGCAAAATATACCAGCTCAGACTCCGTCCTGGACAGGACATGCAGATTGCACTAGCCAAGGTCGTTGACGAGGAAATTATTGAAGACATGAAAGCCTCTGCTTACTACTCAGTCATGCTTGATGAATCAACTGACCGTACAACAGAAAAAACTTTAATGTTATATGTACGTTACATAAAATCAAATGTGTCTGTAACAAGATTTTTATCTGTTCTTGAACTGTCTGGTGGTACTGCTGATGTTATATTTACTGCTGTAAAAACGCTTTTTGATATGTATGACTTAGATTTTTCAAAGTGTATATCCATCTCTACAGATGGTGCTAGTGTAATGACTGGTATACGGTCAGGTGTAACTACTAAGTTTTCAGAGCAAAACCCTTTCATAATTAAGACACATTGTATTGCACACAGGCTAGCCTTAGCATCATCACAGGCAGCCAATTCTATTAATTATTTGAAGAAATACCAGGGTACTCTTAATGAGGTATACACATATTATCATCATTCATGTAAACACATGTCAGAGTTAAAAGCTATGGCTACTATTTTTGACAAGGCAGAGAAAAGGTTTCAGGTGGTGTTCAGTACAAGGTGGTTGTCCTTTGAAGGTTCTGTTTCCTCTCTTTTGCATAACTTTGATATCTTGATTGGCTGTTTGCTTGTGGATGAGGAAGGTGGTAACATTGTTGCTGGTGGCTTGGTTAGGTTTATTTCTACTTATGAGTTTTTAGCTGTCTCTCACTTCATGGGTGATGTTATGGGTATTGTTACTTGTAGAGTGAGTCGTGTATTTCAGAGAGAGGATCTGACTTTTTCTGTTATCAAGGATGTTATTGACCCTGCCTGTGCTGCTATTCTTGGTATGAAGTCTACTGCTGGGCCTAAGTTGGAATCCTTTCTGTCTGAAGTCCCCTCTGAGGTTCAGGAGAGTGGTAACTTTCTATTTGGTGGCAATCTTATCAAGGACAGTCCCAGTCAGAGGTCGAATTTTGAGAGTCTTAGGGTCAAGTTCATTGATCAGCTGGTCTTGAATCTCCAGAGTCGTTTTCCTTCTCAGCAGATTTTCCAGAGTTTATCCATCTTTGACCCCCAGTTTGTTCCCAGTGCTGGTAGTCAGGAGTTGCTTTCCTATGGTAAGGAGCAGGTAGATTTTCTGTGCAAGCATTTTGGTCAGGATAAGGGTGGTCACAAGGCTCTGATTAGTGAGGTCCATTTCAGGGAGGAGTGGTTGATGTTCAAGCAGGTCTTACCAGGTTACAAAGGTGTTAGGATGGACAGTGCTTTGTCTTCACTTCTGTGTAAGGATTCCTTTGCTGTGGACTATCCTAATGTAGCCAACTTTCTTTCTATCTGTCTTGTTTCTGCTTTATCTTCAGTTGATTGTGAGAGGGGTTTCAGTAGGTACAATCTCATTAAGACATATCTCAGGAACAGGTTGAGGGTCTCATCTGTCAACACTCTTCTCAAGATCTGTCTCCATCCTTCTGACTTGAGGTCTTTTAGGTTTAGAAGGGCTTTTGAGTTGTGGTGCAAGGCTAAGGACAGGAGGATTTTGTTTTACTAGTGGACTCTAGTGTGAAGTTTGATGTAGTTAGATCTAGTTGTCATAGAATGTTAAGCAACTCTTTTTTATGCTAATAGTAGCTTTTATGTAGGTCAAATAGTAACTATTTTTATGTGATAGTGTAATAGTAGCTTTTATGTAGATCAAATAGTAACTATTTTTATGTATTGTGTAATATATATATATGTTATTTATGCATGAATACTGTTTTATTTCAGGATTTATTGTTATATCTGTATCTGTTTACTCATGAAATACTGAAATAGAAAATAAAATACTAAACATGAAATAATGATGTGGTTTTTATTTATTTATATGCTTATGAGGTAATTTTTTGTCTTCCGCAAAAGTGACTAAAGGTCTCAAAATCCTAGCTGAAACCCTGGTATCTAGTTTTAAAAATGTGTCCAGTGACCCGGCCAACCAACCAAGATGGCCGCCATGGCTAAAAATAGAACATAGGGGTAAAATGTAGATTTTGGCTTATATCTCTGAAACCAAAGCATTTAGAGCAAATCTGACATGGGGTATAATTGTTTATCCGGTCAAGATCTATCTGCCCTGAAATTTTCAGATGAATCGTTTAACCCGTTGTTTGTAGTTGCCCCTGAATTGGTAATTTTAAGGAAATTTTGCCGTTTTTGGTTATTATCTTGAATATTATTATAGATAGAGATAAACTGTAAACAGCAATAATGTTCAGCAAAGTAAGATCTACAAATAAGTCAACTTGACCAAAATGGTCAGTTAACCCCTTAAGGAGTTATTGCCCTTTATAGTTAATTTTTAACCATTTTTCATAAATTTTTGTAATCTTTTAAAAAAATCTTCTCCTCTGAAACTACTGGGCCAAATTTGTCCAAACTTGGCCACAATCATCATTGGTGTATTTAGTTTAAAAAATGTGTCCGGTGACCCGGCCAACCAATCAAGATGGCCGCCATGGCTAAAAATAGAACATAGGGGTAAAATGTAGATTTTGGCTTATATCTCTGAAACCAAAGCATTTAGAGCAAATCTGACTAGAATAAAATTGTTCATTAGGTCAAGATCTATCTGCCCTGAAATTTTCAGACCAATCAGGCAACACGTTGTTGGGTTGCTGCCCCTGAATTGGTCATTTTAAGAAAATTTTGCAGCTTATGGTTATTATCTTGAATATTATTATAGATAGAGATAAACTGTAAACGTCAATAATGTACAGCAAAGTAAGATCTACAAAAAAGTCAACATGATCAAAATTGTCAATTGTCCCTTTAAGGAGTTATTGCCCTTTATAGTCAATTTTTTACAATTTTCATAAATTTTGTAAATTTTTGTAAATTTTTACATAATATTTTCCACTGTAACTACTGGGCCAAGTTCATTATAGATAAAGATAATAGTAAGGAGCAAGAATGTTCAGTAAAGTAAGATCTACAAACACATCACCATCACCGAAACACAATTTTGTCATGAATCCATCTGTGTCCTTTGTTTGATATGCACATAGACCAAGGTGAGCGACACAGGCTCTTAAGAGCCTCTAGTTTTAAATTTGTGCACTGACAGAATTGCCTATAGGAAAGTAACAGTTATTTTAATTATATTATTGTAATATTTTTCTTAGATCGTAGAAGAATTTAAAGAGAAAACTGATCTGTGGGTTAAATCTACCCTACTGCAGGTGAATGCAGCCTCAACAGCAGAGGAGGTAGAGTATTGATGCCGAAAAGAGCTGGTCTCGACTATTCAACATCCATACAGGGACGGAAGTAAGTATAATGTTTCTTAAAATAATTTTTATCATTTAAATGTTTAAAAAATATATTAATATAAAAATGAGGAAATGTGGTATGATTTCCAATGAGACAACTTCCCACAAGAGACCAAATGACACAGAAATTAACAACTACAGGTCACCGCACAATCTTCAACAATGAGCAAAGCTCATATTGCATAATTGGCTATAAAAGGCTCCAAAATGACAAATCTAAAACCATTCAAACAAGAAAACTAACAGCCTGATTTATGTACAAAATAATGAATGAAAAATGCACATATTTATTTAGCACCAATAGTTATAGTTCTGTTCTGTATATCATTACTGTGTGACTTTTTCTGATGATCAATGTATGTAATAGTAGACCAAGTATTCTGTTTTTAATTTTGTTACCTATGTATATTATCTATAGCCTTGTTATTTTTCTTTCAGCTGTTTTCCATCTACATCTATTGTCCCATTTATTGTCACGTCCAATACAACAGCACTGCAAAAAATACCAGTAGTACCAGCAGCTGATTCTGCCACCGTTGAGACACCCCCAGCTAGACCATCATCTTTATACTTGGTTTGGGTGCCTGCCAATCCAAGAAATGCATAAGATATCAAAGTTGTATGCCTCACTTTATCCTGCAATCAACTAACTATTGTACAAATAACAGGTACACAAATAAATTTTTGCTTTATTTGTACATGTGCAAATAAAGTCTCCTGTTACCCCACTTCCATGTTGAGCAAGCTGTAATGGGGATATTTCTTTTTGCGTAACAGTTCATTTTTGGGACTTCTTCGCAGTCTGCGATTTCTCAGAAAAAAATAGATTTGGATTTTAACAACTAAAGTTTCAAGTGTCGGTGTAAATTGCAGGATAAAAACAATATATGTACATTGTCAGAAAATATCAAATTTATTTGTACTCGCTACGAAACAGGAGAAAAGCTTTGAGAGCCTCGCTTTTAATCCTATTTCTAAAGCTCATACAAATAAATTTGATATTTTCCAACAATGTACATATATTGTATATTTATCATGCTTATTCCAAAGATATTCACTCAAAATATATCATGTTAACAATGTCTGTGTATTACATTTGTAAAGTTATTTACAAGCATCACTCACATCATTTACCAATAAATATATAGTGTGTGAAATGGCTATGTATCTCTAATGTCAAAACTTAGGCTTACAATTTCATTAGTGTTGCTGTAAAGTGTGATTTTCATGTTCCTTAGGAGTGACTAAAAAATATATTATGTTCTAGGGAGTTCAGCAAATTTTCTGAAGAAGTTTTTAAAATTTATCTGACTTGAATTCAACCTAATTACATTGAAGTATACTACATCAAAAAGCATTTTGGAGTAAAATGTAATATATTTATAGACACCTAAATGCATACTTTTTTTACTTTTGAATTTAGTTATACTTGTATAATAATTTTTTTATTATTTTCTTCATACAGTTTTGCATCTATCAACCATGTGGTTCCAGCTGTCTGCTCATTGGGACCATATGGAAGCAGTATTGAGGATTGTGCGTTCGTTGGCCTTGGGTTGTGCTATTTTATGGACAGCCACCACAAGGATATAACCATAGGCTGGGTGGAATGTACCCTTTGTGGACAGTGGGTTCATGACACATGCATGGGTGTCACTGCAGCAGCCTTTAGCTTGCAGAATGATTTCCCATGTGGATGTGATTGCCTGCAAAATATAGAGTTAAAACTGAAAAGGTAAAAAAAACTCTTCCTTTATCCGGTCTAATTTACTCAATACTTAGTACTTTCATTTTTACGGAAATTGTACCAAAATGTTTCTAAAAGTTTTTTCTATATTTTTTGTTGAATGTAAGTTGGTTTTATTTTTATGTACACCATTTAGAGATAAGTTTTAGGCTTTTGAAAAAGTATTTTGTATTGTATTAGCTATTTAACATTGCATACTTATATTTTTTTTTTATATTTCAGCATTGAATACTACACAAATTATAAGTATGCAATGTCGAATAGTTGCAGGTTAAAGACCTGGATATTGATTTCAATGTAAGTGTATATTATGAAAGAACAAACATGACCATTTATTAAATGATGCTGACTCAGACCACTATAAATGACCACTAAAATTAGAAGAAACACAAGTTATGCAAATAATATGTATTTTGTCTTTTGTATCTAGTAAATAGCCAAAATATGATTTTTTTGTGCTTCAGTTCTACAGATGATGAAATATTAGATAAATGTGGTACCAAACCCCTTGACTAAAACTAATTTGGCTCGTTTAATTTTCATAAAATTTGGACAAAAAAAATTTACTTTGAGCCTTTGACAAAAATATAAAAATTTCAAAAAACTTGGAACCACACAGTTTATCGAAAAAAATTCATTGGATCTATAGCAGTTTGACACACACTAATTTTGATTATTCAAAAGCTAAATATTTCCTTAACAATAAAATCTGATTTAAACGTTCATCTGATTTTTACAGAGTTATCTCCCTGTAGTGTTATGTACCACCTAAAGGCATTTTTAAGGTCCACAGAGTACTGATTTTAGATGAAATTTCAATATTAGAACATTCTGTTGACATGTAAACTTCTAAATCAAAGAGGAATACATGTTGAAATGTGATATTGGTATACAGATTGAATTATAGTGAAAAAAGTTTTCAAACTTATACTTTCAGATGATAGTCGACAAAGTGGCACAAATGCACAGCCTGAGAAAAGAGGTTTTTTCCAGGGAAGCAAATGGAAAACTCAAATGGGCTTTGAGAAGTGGTCGGTTTGGTCCGTTTACAGAAGAGTTTGTAAGTTTTAATAATTAATGTTATTGCAGTATATATCAAATAGTATAAAAAAAGTTGTAGTTCCTTGTATCTTCAAAGTCATGCCATTTGATAACAATGTTTTTACCTCAGCAATAAAAAGTTTTAAGAAATCATTTTTATAATAATTGTATTCAAATGTTTCTGAAAAATGAGAAAAAAATAAATTTGGAGGTAGCTACAAAATCTGATTGTTGTATTTTTTATCTTCTTCAGGTTGACACTGTGAATACCAGTTTGATCACATATGTTGGAGTAGAAAAGCGCCACCTTATACCGGATTTATTTATGCCTGAGGTAAATAACATTTGTTTTACATATGAAAAGTATGCTTTAATTATATTCATCTCTTATTCAATTGTAAAATCTTGAACAAAATAATCTTTTGCGAAAATGAGGCTTGCTTGTTTATATGTAGATAGAAAATGAGTTGATATATACAAAACTAGAACATTCATTTATTATTTCAATTTGAAGTCAGACTAAAAGGGATATTTAGAATTGTTACTTTGGGAAAATCAAAGTATAATTGATTTGTTAGGTTAAAATTGGAAATTCTTATTTTTTTAAATCAAATGATTGTGTTGATATTTTTTTCCTTTGGCTTAATTTTAGACGTATTTTATTTAGCATATTATTCTTGTTATTTTTTTTTAGGTTTTGATACAAGTTCTATGTGAAAAAGAAGTAAACAGGCTTGTGCCTGAACTGGTTCTTCTGAGACATAAATCATGCTAACCACTGTATATCATTGTTACTTCCATTTTCATTTTCATCTGTAGATATTTGTAGCAAAACATATTGATGAAAAACCTATATTTAAAGTGACGATCCATATATTTAAATTTGTTTTATGATTTAAAATCTCTAATATCAACTTTTTTATTTGAAAATATTAATCCTTAGCTGAAAATGTCACTCAAATTTATCACACAAAACCTTTTTTGGAACCCAATAATTGATAACATATATATGACTCATTTTTGATTCAGCCATGCTGGATCTATGTGATCACTCTGTTTTTGGAGATGGTGAAGACTACTAAGTTGAAGACATGATATAAAACTAATTATGTGTTTTTATGACTTGCAGAAACTTTCTACTCCATTTTAATCATCATCATGTTATTTGTCCTTAAATCAAGAAAAGATTGGTCGAACAACCCTTTTATTTTAGATATACACTTGCATATAGTTCCTTTGTAAATCAAAATTTATAATGATTTACTATTTATGAATTAATTTGAAAAAGTATTTGTACATCAATTGAATCAGTTGATAAGAATTTTGAAAGTATTATATTAGTATCTTATGCAAGGATCCGGAAATTTTTCCAGACAATTTCGGTCATTTTGAGATGTTTGAAAAGTTGGTGCCCCTTTTCAAATTGTCGATAAGACGATATCAACTTGACTATATTCATAGCATCAACGAACATGACGAACTTGTATTGCTGTTTCATCGCATTTACTAATTAAATGTCTTACCATTACCATGAAGGACAGTTTAGGGAAGGCAACAGTCTAAAATTAAAATGATTTTAATGACTCAAAATGGTTAATTTCTCAGACATTACTTACGTTTCTTTCGATTTGACAAAAGTTAAAACTAGAAGTTTGCGATATTTTAAAGTACGAATAATTCCGGATTCATTTCCGGGATTTGTTTTGTTTATCAAATTGACAGGAAATCACGGGCTTTTTATGGCTTTTTTATTTTATTACCTTTAAAAATGTTTGAATATAATAGATAATAGTTGCACTCGTTAAATTTAGCATGAAATCAATTTGCATTTAAATGGTTTTACGATTAAATATTAAATTTGCTGAAGACAATTTCACGCATGCGTATTACATAGTAAATAAAGCACATGTGTTACTCATGAAAAATTACTTTTTTCTACGTAAATTTAGATTTAATTTTTAAATCAGAATTGATGACTGTCGTTGATGAAAAGTAAATAAATAATGAATACACTTGTCAGGGAACTTTAATGTTTTAAAGATATTATTCTGAGCTTGTGATCACTGTCAGGTGTGAATTAAAACCTCAGGTAAAAAGTGATTAGCGATCATTAGCCAATGTTTCCCGGAGGCATTGATATAGATATTAGGAGGGCCCTCAGGATTATCAAAATACTGTAGTGGCAGTTTTATTACAGGAAAGGGATTATAAACAAAAACAAGTGATCACAAGTGCAAAATGGCGATTAAGAAATCCGATTTCAAACATTGAGTCAATGAAATGACCGATATTACTTCTGTAGAAAAATAAAATTTGTCCTAAATCCCAATTACTCGTTTAGGACAAATAGTTTCATCTTAGGACATGACTGGCAAATATGACCGTTTCCGGACCCTTGATCTTATGCTTGTGTAAGTTGTTTTTCAATGAAATGTAGGTCAACATCTGTATTAATATATCTAAGTTGATTCCCACACTTTTTATACGACCGCAAAAAAAATTTTGTGGTCGTATATTGGTATGACGTCGTCGTCGTCCGAAGACGCATTAGTTTTCGCACTCTAACTTTAGTTTAAGTGAATGGATCTCTATGAAATTCTACCATAAGGTTCAATACCACAAAAGGAAGGTGGAGATTGATTTTGGGGGTTATGGTTCCAACAGTTAAGGAATTAGGGGCCAAAAATAAGCATTTTCTAGTTTCCAGACAATAACTGTGGAACGGTGTATGGATCTCTCTGAAATTATACTACAAGTTTCCATACCACAAAGGGATGGTTAGGATTTGCTTTGGGGGTTTATTGCTCAAACCGTTTAAGAATTAGGGGCAAAAAAGGGGGAAAAACAAGGTTGTCCTGGTTAATGGACAAATACTTTAGTACAAAACATAATTTAAAGCAGTGTAAGGGAAATAAATCAAATACATCATTGAAATTATCTCCCTTACACTGCTTTTAAATTATGTATAAAGTAATGGTTAATGAACAATTAAGATAATTTAAAACAGTGTAAGGGAGGTAATCCAAATACAATGTTTTGGTTACTTCCCTTACACTGCTTTTAAATTATGTTTAAAGAAATGCATATTTATAAAGGAAGACCAGTAAAAATATCTGCAAATGTTGCATCTTTTTTTTTACAAAAAAATCCATATGAAAGATTTGACACTATATTTTAAATTCTATTATAAAATAGATTAAGTTAGCACTATGGTAAATTTAAATGGGTAATTATGGTTGCAAACTCCATTGGAAATTTGAATTGAGATTATGACCATATCTTGAGGGAAAGAATTTTTTGGGGGAAAAAAAAGGGGGGGGGGTAAAAAGAAATTGTGGGGGGTCAATTTTTTCTCATTTCAGATTTCAGAAATTAAAAAGAATTATTCTTCAAATATTATGTTTTTTTCAAATTTCAAATATTGAAAAATTTCAAGAAGTAATCTTTAATTGCACAGTATGGCGCATTAGATTTGTGAAATCTTTGACCACATTTATTTATTTGTTATGCCGATTCTAACCATGTATTTAGATTTTTAATTTTGGGTCCAGTTTTCAAATTGGTCTACATTAAGGTCCAAAGGGTCCAAAATTAAACTTTGTTTGATTTTAACAAAAATTGAATATATGGGGTTCTTTGATATGCTGAATCTAAACATGTATTTAGATTTTTGATTATTGGCCCAGTTTTAAAGTTGGTCCAAATTGGGGTCCAAAATTAAACTTTGTTTGATTTCAACAAAAATTGAATATATTAGGTTCTTTGGTATGCTGAATCTAACCATGTATTTAGATTTTTTATTTGTGGACCCCGATATCAAATTGGTTCATATTGAGGTCTAAAGGGTCTAAAATTAAACTTTGTTTGATTTCATCAAAAATTGAATTCTTGGGGTTCTTTGATATGCCAAATCTAACCGTGTATTTAGATTTTTAATTTTGGGTCCCGTTTTTTAAATTGGTCTACATTAAGGTCCAAAGGGTCCAAAATTAAACTTAGTTTGGTTTTAACAAAAATTGAATTCTTGGGGTACTTTGATATGCTGAATCTAAACATGTGTTTAGATTTTTGATTATGGGACCAGTTTTCAAGTTTGTCCAAGTTGGGGTCCAAAATTAAACTTTGGTTGATTTCAACAAAAATTGAATATATAGGGTTCTTTGATATGCTGAATCTAACCATGTATTTTGATTTTGGACATTGGACCATAATAGGTAAATTAAAAAAATTGAAGTTCTTAGACCACATTCTTTCTGTGTCAGAAACCTATGCTGTGTCAAATATTTAATCACAATCCAAATTCAGAGCTGTATCAAGCTTGAATGTTGTGTCCATACTTGCCCCAACTGTTCAGGGTTGGACCTCTGCGGTCGTATCAAGCTGCGCCCAGCGAAGCATTTTATTTTGAAATGGTATTACTCTAATTCTTTCCATAGGCAAGTAAGAGTCAGTATGATTATCAACTGTCATGATTTTCAAATAATTACAATCAAAGGTGTAAGTATTAATTGGAAACGACCCCAGGCTTAATTCACCACAGTTAATATCTCATGACCTGTTACATAATTAAAAAGACACAATTTATTTACACACCTAACTGAATACACACATTCACAATAGTAAACCTAAAAATGTATTTATTTATTTCAATCTACACTAAAATATTCTGTTAGTTTTGCTAGCTAGCTGAATGGTTAATCAGATGTGGTTTTTTTTCAAAGAAAAGACAAAAAATTCAAAAAATATGTATCAAAAATGCAAGCAAATTTTATTTCACTTGTAAAATCAGAGTGTCATTATCATCTGACATAAGTCAATAATCAAGTTCAAATTAATTAGTTGCAATTATCAGAAATTTGGTTGAAATAATATACAAAATTGCATAACTCTTACCTGAGCATTTTCTGCAATAAAATTTATTTGTTTGTTCTACATTTATATCCCATTATATTGCTATTAAACAGTAATTGGAAATATCTCATCATTAGGTATTTGTACATTTAAATTCGAGTACAGGAAATGCATTTTTTCTTAATGAAGAATGAACACCAATTTAGATAAAAAAATAGTTATTATTTTTTGTTATTTTTGTTGTTGAGAAAGTGCATTTCTAAGGCCTCTTTCTGGAAATTATAAAGCCAGTTATTATAAATGGCATATAAAAAAATATATTACTTATTTGACGATTTCCCTTTCCATTCTTGTCAAAAAAAAATCTGACAGAGTCTAAAATTGAAATATCAATATATATATCAATGTTTGCTTTAATATTTTTGTTTCCTTTGGAAAATAACATAAAAATTTTACAGTAAGATTGAAAATGAAAAGAGAAGA